TCCCTGAGATACAAGGCTGGTTCAATATATGCAAATCTACAAATGTAATTCATCACATAAACAGAACCAAAGACAAAAACCAAATGATTATCTCAATAAATGCAGAGAAAGCCTTCAACAAAATTCAACAGCCCTTTATGCAAAACAAACAAACAAACAAACAAACAAAACCTCTAAACTAGGTATGAAACGTATCTCAAAATATTAAGAGCTATTTATGAAAAACCCACAGCCAATATCATGCTGAATGGACAAAAACTGGAAGCATTCAGTTTGAAAACCGGGACAAGACAAGGATGCCCTCTCTCACACTCCTATTAAACACAAAATTAGAACTTCTGGCCTGGGCAACCAGGCAAGAAAAAGATAAAAGGTATTCAATTAGGAAAAGAAGAAGTCAAATTCTATTTGCAGACAACATGACTGTATATTTCGAAGACCCCATCATCTCAGCCCAAAATCTCCTTAAGCTGATAAGCAACTTCAGCAAAGTCTCAGGACACAAAATCAATGTGCAAATATCACAAGCATTCCTCTACACCAGTAACAGACAGAGAGTCAAATCATGAGTGAATTCCCATTCACCAGTGCTACAAAGAGAATAAAATACCTCGGAATGTAACTAACAAAGGATGTAAAGGACTTCTTCAAGGAGGACAACAAACCACTGATCAAGGAAATCAGAATGGACACAAACAGATGGAAAAACATTCCATGCTCATGGTTAGGAAGAATTAATGTCATGAAAATGACCACACTGCCCAAAGTAATTTATAGATTCAATGCTATCCCCATCAAGCTACCATTGACTTTCTTCACAGAACTGGAAAAAACCACCTTAAACTTAATATGGAGCCAAAAAAGAGTACACATAGCCAAGACAATCCTAAGCCAAAAAAAGAAAGCTGGAGGCATCACACTACTTTAAACTATACCATAAGGCTATCAAAACAGCATCATACTGGTACCAAACAGAGACATAGACCAATGGAAAACATTCAGGACATAGGTATGAGCAAGGACTTCATGACTAAAACACCAAAAGCCATGACAACAAAAGCCAAAATTGACAAATAGGAACTAATTAAACTAAAAAGCTTTTTTCATCATTACAGTAAACCGGCAACCAACAGAATGCGAAAAAATTTTTGCAATCTACCCATCTGACAAAGGACTAATATCCAGAATCTACAAAGAACTTAAACAAGTTTACAAGAAAAAAGACAAACAACCCCATCAAAAGTGAGCAAAGGATATGAATAGACACTTCTCACAAAAAGACATTTATGCAGCCAACAAATATATGAAAAAAAGCTCATCATCATTGGTCATTAGAGAAATGCAAATCAAAACCACATTGAGATACCATCTCTCACCAGTTTGAACAGCAAACATTAAAAAATCTGGAGACAACAGATGCTGGAGAGGATGTGGAGAAATAGGAATGCTCTGCCCCTGTTGATGGGAATGTAAATTGGTTCAGCCATTGTGGAAGACAGTGTAGCAATTCCTCAAGGGTCTAGAACTAGAAATATCATTTAACCCAGTAAGCCCATTATTGGGTATATACCCAAAGGATTATAAATCATTGTATTATAAAGACACATGCATACGTATGTTTACTGCAGTACTGTTCACAACTGCAAAGGCTTGGAACCAACACAAATGCCTATCAATGATAGACTGGATAAAGAAAATGTGGCACATATGCACCACAGAATACTATGCATCCCATAAAAAAGAATGAGTTCATGTCCTCTACCGGGATATGAATGAAAATGGAAACGATCATTCTCAGTAAACTGACACAAGAAAAGAAAACATAACATGGCATGTTTGCATTCATAAGCGGGTGTTGAACAATGAGAACACATGAACCCAGGGAGGGAAACATCATATACCGGGGCCTGTTGTGGGGTGGGGAGCTAGGGGAGGAATAGCAGGGGGTGGGGGAACAGGGGAGGGGTAGCTTTAGGAGAAATATGGCTAAAATTTGAGCATTCATTCAACAAATATTTGAGTGTCCACTTTGCACCAGGCATAGTTCTAGGCAATTGAAGATACAATGGCAAACAAGATAGACAAGCTACTCCCAAAATGCTTACACTCAAGTGGTAGAAGCAGACAATAATAAGGATAAATAAGCGTATAATACGCTAAGAGAAAAATAAAGCAGGAAAAAAACTGCATTTTAGAGAAAGCAACACTGAAAATGTATCATCTGAATAAAGGAAAGGGGGCTTGATGTGGTAAATCCCAGCACTATGGGAGGCCGAGGTGGGAAAATCACTTGAGCCCAGGAGTTTGAGACCAGCCTGAGCAGTATAGTGAGACCCCATCTCTTAAAATATAAAAACATATATATAAACAAAGAAAAGAGGCCATTTTTATCCTCAACTTCTTCACAGCAGTACTCCTCAATAGAGACAAAAACACAATTCTTTTTCAATGTTACATCAGACAGAATTGTTCTACTTTTTAAAAACTGGCTTCTATTCTTGTGTCAGTTTGCTGAGGATGATGTTCTCCAGAACAGAAAATGAAACACCGCATATTCTCACTCATAGGCGGGTGATGAAAAATGAGAACACATGGACACAGAAAGGGAAGTACTAAACACTGGGGTCTATTGGGGGGAAAAGGGGAGGGCCAGTGGGAGGGGGAGGTGGGGAGGGATAGCCTGGGGAGAAATGCCAAATGTGGATGAAGGGGAGAAGGAAAGCAAAGCACACTGCCATGTGTGTACCTATGCAACTGTCTTGCATGCTCTGCTCATGTACCCCAAAACCTAAAATCCAATAAAAAAATAAAAAAAATAAAAATAAAAACTGGCTTCTAGTAAAAGCCTTTAAGATTTTCATAATAACCTGAAAATATTTAACACAAATGATGTCATGATAAAACTATATTCCATATATGTCAGTTAAAAGATACATAAAACAAAATACTGCATGTTCTCACTAAATGTTGAGAACTCATGAACACAAGTAAGAGAACAACAGACACTGGGGCTACTTAAGGGCAGAGGGTGGAATGAGGGAGAGGGGTAGAAAAAAATAACTATGGGGTACTAGGCTTAGTATCTGGGTAACGAAATAACCTGTACAACAAACCCCCATGGCACAAATTTACCTAAATAACAAACCTGAAAATGTACCCCCAAACCTAAAATAAACATTTAAAAAAAGATATAGTTTATTACTGACTGTAGAATGATAACCAGCAACACTTGAATTGTCCATTGTTTTGAATTTTTTGTAAGCAGTCTTCAGAGCACTTCATTTGATTTGGGTCTCATAAGAAATATAATCTAAAACCACAATATCTTTGATATGCCCAAAATATCTAGTCAGTTCTAGAGCTTTGCTATCAAACAATTACAATTACAAATAAAACAATTTTTTGTATTGCTATTTCTAAAAATTTTTTAAAGACAAAGTGACAGTAATCTCTTCATGGCCTTGTAAATAAGATCTTTTAATAATGGTTCCAGCTTAACCATTAATTTTAAAAGGTAATCATTAATTTAAAAAATAATCATTAATATTATACATCAATATTACCTTTTTAAGAACAGCCCTTGGATCTTTGACTTTTTGCCCATAGTGTATATATTTTACACTATGTCCCTTCATAATAAATTCCCCAATTCTTTGAGGAGGAAGATTAAAACATACACAGTCTTTTGTACTAAACTAACTTTACTATCAGTAAAAATACTGTTTTAAAAAAATAATTTGACAAACTAAAAAAAATTTTTAAAAACACAATAGCTTCCAAAAATGAAATTCTTAGGTATAAGTCTAACAACACAAGTATAGGATCTGTAGGCTCAAAATAACAAAACGTTCATGAAAGAAATCAGAGAAAATTTAAATAGAGTTCACAAATTAAGACTCGATGTAGAAAGATGTGAATTCTCTAAAATGTCAATTCCCCCCAGATTGATCTATAGATTTAACACAATTCCCATCAAAATCACAGCAGGGCTTCTGTGCGCACAGACAAGCTGTTTGTAAAACATATATGAAAAAGCAGCCGGGCCTGGTGGCTCACTCCTGGTAATCCCAGCACTTGGGAGGCCAAGGCATGTGGATCACTTGAGGTCAGGAGTTCAAGACCAACCTGGCCAACATGGTGAAACCCCGTCTCTATTAAAAATTTTTAAATTAGCCAAATATGGTAGTGGGTGTCTGTAATTCCAGCTTCTTGGGAGGCTGAGACACGAGAATCACTTGAACCCAGGCGGCAGAGGCTGCAGTGAGCCAACACTGTACCACTGCACTCCAACCTGGCGACAGAGTGAGACTCTGTCTCAATAAAACAAAATAAGGTATAAAATACAAAATAAAACATATACAAAAAGAAAAAATATCTGAGTAGCTAAAATCTGAAAGAAAAAATGATACTACCTAATTTTAAGACACAGTATAAAGATACAATAATCAAGACAGTATGATACTGGTAAACAGACACACAGATCAACAAAACAAAGAGTCCAGAAACAGACTCATACAAAATAGTCTATTTATTTTTGACAAGAATACAAAGATAATTCAATAGAGAATAATAGTCTTTTAAACAAATGCTGTTGTAAAACTGGAAATCCATATGCAAAAACACGAACCTTGACATAAACTTCCCACCATACACAAAAATTACATTCAAAGAGATCCTAGCCCTAAATGTAAACCACACGACTATAAAGCTTTTAGAAGAAAATGTAAGAAAAAATATTCATGGCTTTGGATTATGCAAAGAGCTCTTATACACAATATTAATATGATACATAAAAGGAAAGCAATAATAAATTAAACTTCAAAATAAAACCCTTTTCTCTGTAAAAGATATTGTTAAGAAAATAAAAAGAAAAGCTACAGGCTACAAAAAATCATTGCAAATAACATCTGATAAAGAACTTGTATCTACAATATATTTGTGAATGTCCAAAACTCAATAGCAAGAAAACAAAAATCCAATTTAAAAAAAGGCAAAAAACTTGAACGGACACTTTACCAAAGAAAATACAGGAAGCCAATAATAAACAAACTAAAAGATGCTCAACATCATTATCCATTAGAGAAATTAAAACCACAACGAAACACTACCACACACCAATGAGAATGGCTAAAATAGAAGATAATCACAATACCAGGTGCTGACAATGATGCTGAACAAGTGAATATATTCATATACTGCAGATGGGAATGAAAAATAATACAGCTACTCTGGAAAACAGTTTAGCAGCTCCTTATAGAGTAATACATACAATTACAGTCTGACTCAGCAATTTCACTCCTAGGTATTTACCCTGTAGAAATAAAAATTTATGTTCACATAAAAACTTATATACAAATGTTCACAGTAGCTTTATCTATAATAGCCAAAAACTGGAGACAATGCAAATGTTCTGCAACTGGTGAACAAATAAACTAAAAAAATATTTGATATTGATACTTTCACCCTTCTGACAAACATAATAAATAGACTACTGAAGCACCAATGAAAAGGATGCTAGTTTATTTCCATGAGGGTGCTGATTCTATGAAACCAGACAACTTTAAATAAACATGTAGGCATAGGGCTAAAGTCATGACACTAGTATGGGAGAACCACTCCATAATTCAGTTATCTCCACCTGGACCTTTCTGTCCTTGACACGTGGCATTTCCATACATCCTCTGAAATCTAGGTGGAAGCTCCCAAACCTCCATTCTTGACTTCTGTGTACCTACAGGCTCAACACCAGATGGAAGCTGCCAAGTTTTGGGGCACGTGCCCTCTGAAGCCATGACCTGAGCTATACCTTGGCCCATTTTAGCCACAACTGAAGCAGCTGGGACATAGGACACCATGTCCCAAGGCTGCACACAGCAAGGGGGCCCCTGGGTGCAGCCCATGAAACCATTTCTTCCTCCTAGGCCTCTGGGTCTGTGATGGGAGGAGCTACTGCAAAGGTTTCTGACATGCTCTAGAGACATTTTCCCCATTGTCTTAGTGATTAACATTTGGCTACTTGTTACTTTTGCATATTTCTGCAGCTGACTTGAATTTCTCCCCAGAAATGGGTTTTTCTTTCCTATTGCATCATTAGGCTGTAAATTTTCCAAACTTTTATACTCTGCTTCCCTTTTAAACCTAAGTTTTAATTCCAAACCCTATCTTTGTAAATACATAAAACAATGCTTTCAATGGCACTCAAGTCACCTCTTAAACAATTTGCTACTTAGAAATTTCTTCTGTCAGATGCCCTAAATCATCTCTCTCAAGTTCAAAGTTTCACAAATCTCTAGGGAAGGGACAAAATGCCTCCAGTCTCTTTGCTAAAACAGAAAGAGTCACATTTATTCCAGTTCTAACAAGTTCCTCATCTCCAGCTGAGACCACCTCAACCTGGACTTCACTGGTCATATAACTACCAGCATTTTGCTCAAAGCCATTCAACAAGTCTCTAGGAAGTTCCAAACTTTCCCACATCTTCCTGTCCTCTTCTGAGCCCTCCAAATTGTACCAACCTTGGTGTACTACCCAGTTGCAAAGTCATTTCCACATTTTCTGGTATATTTACAGCAGCATCCCAATCTCGATATAAATTTATTGTATTGGTCCATTCTCACACCGCTAATAAAGACATCCTCAAGACTGGATAATTTATAAAGGAAAGAGGTTTAATTAACTCACAGTTCAGCATGGCTGGGGAGTCCTCAGGAAACTTACAATCATGGCAAGAAAGAAAGTAAACACATCCTTCTTCACGTAGCAGCATCAAGGAGAATTGTCAAGCAAAAGGGGAAACACCCCTTACAAAACCATCAGACCTTGTGAGGCTTATTCACTACCATGAAAACAGCATGAGGGAAACTGCCTCCATGATTCAATTATCTCCACCTGACCCCACCCTTGACGGATGGGAATTACAATGCAACTTGAGATTTAGGTGGAGACACAGCCAAACCATATCATCTGACTTCTTTCTCTTGGCAGAATTATTTTAAGATTCATCCATCTTACTGAGTTATATTTATAGTTCAATTGTTTTATTCCTGAGTAGTACTTCAATAGACAGACACATACATAGCAAACTGTTTATCCATTCATCTGTTGATGAACTTTGAGTTGTTTCTAGTTTTCATCTCTTACACATAAATTCTTTCAATAGTTACATATAAGTCTCTGTGAGGCCATATGCTTTCACTTCTTTTGGCTAAATATCCAGGAGTGGAATTGCTGAGTCATAGGGCAGGTGTATGTTCAACCTTTTAACAAACTGCCAAATGTTTCTCAAAGTGGTTGTTCCCTTTACACTCCCTTGGGCAGTATATATGAGTTCCAGATACCCAACACATCTAAGCAACACTTGGTATGATCTTTTTAATTTTAGACATTATAGTGAGTAGTCCAGTGGTATCTCATTTTGGTTTTAATCTGTAGTTCCCTAATGACTAATGGTGTTCAGAGCATCTTTCATATGCTTACATGCCATGTGGACACGTTCTTCTTTGGTAAAGTGCCTTCTCCAAACATTTTCCCCCTTTCTTAACCGGGCAGTCTTCTTAGTATTGATTATAGGAGCACTTAATAATCTGGATACAATGGTTTTGTCAGATACATGTTTTGCAAATATCTTCTCCCAGTCTGTAGCTTGCCTTTCATTTTTGTGACAATGTCTTTTAAAGAGCAAAGTTTTGAATTTTGATGAAATCCAAATGATTTTTTTCTTTGAGAGTTGATGTATTCTGTGTCCTACTTAAGAAATCTTTGCCAGACTGAAAGTCAAATAAGATTTTACCCTATATTTTCTTCTAGAAGTTTTAGAGACTCAGGCTTTACATTTAGGTCTGATACACATTCTGAGGGTTTTTTTTTTTTTTTTTTTTTGAGACAGAGTATCACTTTGTTGCCCAGGCTGCAGTGCAGTGGTGCAATCTTGGCTCACTGCAACCTCTGCCTCCTGGGTTCAAGTGATTCTCCTCTCTGCCTCCCTAGTAGCTGGGATTACAGGCACACATCACTATGCCCAGTGCATGGTGCGATGAATGAATCAAAACTTATTCTCTACATATGGTATGAGTTGTCCTGTATCATTTTTGTTGAGTAGTCTCCTTTGTCAAAAGCCAGTTGTCATATGTGTGCACGCTATTTTTTATTTTTTTTATAAAGACACATACACACATATATGTACTGCAGCACTGTTCCCAATAGCAAAGACTTGGAACCAACCCAAATGTCCATCAATGATAGACTGGAAAAGAAAATGTGGCACATATATACCATACAATACAATGCACCCATTAAAAAGGATGAGTTCAAGTCCTTTGCAGGGACATGAGTAAAGAAAAGATGGAAACCATCATTCTCACCTTTCTTGATAAGGAGAGAAGAAGGGAGATGTTATAGGAAGATATCTCATTAATATGAATTAGCTTTCCAAAAGATGTACTTTTCTATTAATGTGGGCTAGAAATACTTTAATATGTTGTATGAATTTTTCTAAAAGGGAAACTGGACACAACTACTTTAATTCAGTAAAACCCACTAGCCACTATGAAATGAGGCATGGGTTGGTGATGTCATGAGGCTACTATAATACACACTATGACCATTCCCTTCAAGGTCAGAGGGTAGCCCCTTGTGCAGTGAAGCCCTTTCCTGGCCTGGCCAATGATCAGGAACAGATTCCTCTAGATCTGCCCATTAGGAGTGAGCAGGGTTCAGTATGTGAGGAGCAACAAGGGTTCCTAAGATGGTAGACTTCAGTGGCTCATCATTATTGCACACACAGAATGTTCCAGGCCCCAAGTGTGTATCTTTTGTCAATGAACTCAGTGAACAGGAACTGGAGAATTAAGAAGAAACAGATGACTGAAAAGAAATGAAGAAGGGGTGGGAATTAATCAAAATAATCAAATTTCACTTTTGATACCTTGATTTCCTGAAACTGAACTTTATCAGACAACCTAGTGCCTCTCATAACTAGAGATTTCTGATGTATAAATGGCTAAAAGACATTTTTTAATAACCATCCTTGCGGGGGTAGCTTCTGCATTACTCTACAACTTCAGGTTCTATTTCTGACTCTAGGACACAGGTCCCTGAAGGCCTCATGGACGCTAAGTCAGCATTTTCACCCAGTATTGCCCCCTGCTGAGTCACCTTTGTTTTTTCCACTCACAGTGAGAACTTGCCTGAAACACACAGCTCTGTGCTTCCTTTAAGACACGCCTGACCGGGCCCGGCTGCTCACACCTATAAACCCGGCACTGTAGAACGCTGATACACGCAGATCACTTGAGGTCAGGAGTTCGAGGTCAGCCTTGCCAACATCATGAAACCCTGTCTGTACTAAAAATACAAAAAAATTAACCGGGTCTGGTGGCACATGCCCATAACACCAGCTACTTGGGAGGCTAAGGCAGGAGAATCACTTTAACCTGGGAGGTGGAGGTTGCAGTGAGCTGAGACTGTGCCATTGCACTTCAGCCTGAGTGACAGAGCAAGACCCCAACTCAATAAAAAAAGTACCTATGTCCTCAATTGTAGTGCCCAAATGTCCATAAGGAAGCATATCCATCCCACTAACCAAGACTTCCTTAGGAGTAAAGATGGAACTCCAGTTCCTCAGATGGCCATTAGCCACAGGAAGGGCAGGGGTCGGGACCAAAGATCCTCTTGGGCTGCCTTACTTCCCTGAGTGTACGCATGAGCTCAGCCCAAATTGGGGCGAGGATCTTCCAAATGACATGACCCCTGTTGTCAAGACTCTCCAGAGGGGCAGGATATGTCTCCGGGCCTAACTTGCTCAGCCTGCCTGTGTGACACAGCAGGTCTTTCAGAGCATTCATCGGAGATTTTCATGTCCACAAAAGTAGAAGGTGGTAAGATGGGAGCAGTGACTCAGGGCAGGCAGGATGACCCTGAGTTGGGAGTCCTGAATCCGACAGTCCTATAAGATGAGGCTCTTGAGAATAGCAGCAGTTTTCTCTAGCAATACTCCAAGGGGCTCAACATTGCAGGTCCACATTAGGATATGACTCAGATCCAGCTGCTTTAGCTGACTAAGGCTTGGGTATGGAGACAGATACTCCATGTCCCGATCAGCTAGGTAAGCCTTATGTAACGTTAAGGCCTCCAAGGCGTTCTTGAGGCACCTGAGCAAGTGGTCCAGATGCTCTTTGATATTATTGACCTTTGTTACAAAGAGCATCTCAGGGTAGTCCAGGCAGAGAATTGGAGTTTCCAAGTCAGGAATGAACTGCTGTTGGCTGCACATGGATTACTCATGATCATAATTGAAGGCTAAAAAGAGTTTGCGAAGATTGCTCATCCGGCTCAGGTAAGCGGCAAACTCTCCTGCTCTATTCAGCAAGCACTTTCTCTGGACTTCTAATTCCTGAATACTGTCTGGGTATACCATTTGCAGTAAATTTCTGAAAATTGAAGTAGGCATTGAGTAATTCTGCACCTTAGTACAACACAGGTATACTAAACCTCTTCTGTAGTGGATCCAGCCACAGAGGTAGCTCAGGCACTCATCCAGGGTACTTCCCTTAAGGCAGAGGTCTATGAATAACTTCAAGGTCGGTGCTCTCCCATCATTGGAAAGTCCTCCACTGTCTGCCTCTTACTCATGGCCTCTGGGGAGCAGGACAGGGCCATGGCTCCAGACCACAAGGTCCAGAAATTCTCATCAACATTCCCCAAGCCCAGCACTTGAAGTTTCCATCTCCTGGGGCAAAATTTCGTAGCCTTCACGGTCAGCAGTGTTATCAAGTCCCATCAGCACAATCTGCAAGGTCTCCAGATGAGGTGTCTTCATCAAGGACCCCAGAGGGAGGCAGGAAAAGGGCCAGGTCTGCACCATGGCCTTTAGAATCTCATAGCTTCTGCTACTGAAGGCCTCTATGAAAATCAGAAAGAAGACCTCCCCAGGCAGCTCATCCAAGGTGAAGATGTCCAAGTACAGGTCCCTCAGCAGGTTCTGTGCTGCCAGCTCCAGGAGTCTGTGTGGGGCCTGGAGGCTCATTCTGATAAGATCTGGACTCATTTCGTAGTGTGCTCGGACCTCTTAGAGAACCAGGCAGTTAACTCCAAGCACCACAGCTCTGAGTCTCTCGTGAGGGTGCTCAAAACCTTTCTTTGTGCAGTCTATTTATACTGGCTGTATTCTGCTCCATTCATCTGTATGTTTAATTTCACAGCAGTATCACTTTTGTTTTTAGAAACAGGGTCCTGCTGTGTAGCCTAGGCTGGAACGCAGTAGAGCAGTCATAGCTTACTGCGGCCTTAAACTCCTGGACTCAAGCAATGCTTCCATCTCAGCCCACCAAGAAGCTAGAATCATAGGCACCCACTACACCCAACTAATTGTTATTTTTTGTAGCTAACAGGGGGTTCTGGCTGTGTTGTCTAGGCTAGTCTTGCCTGGCCTCAAGCAATCTTCCTGCCTCAGCCTCCCTAAGTGCTGGGATTACTGGCGCGAGCCACCACTCTAGGCCCACACTGTCTTAACTTCCTAGAATCTATTAAGTCATAAAATCAGCTAGTTTGGGTCCTTTAATTTTGTTCTTTTTCAGACTTGTGAGCTGGCTATCTCAGATCCTCTGCATTTTTATATTAATTGTAAAATCTAATTGTTAATTTCTGAAAAAAAAAACTACTAGCAGTTGTGTTGAAATTACATCGAATCTATGAACCAATCCGAGAACAAATGATATCCATACAATGTCTTCTATTCCACGAGCATGGTGTATCTCTCCATTTATTTACAACTTGAATTTCCCTGAATAATGCTTTGTAGTTTTAATAGTGTGCAACTCTTGTATATCTTTTGCTAAATTTACCCCTACAAATTCCATATTTTAATACTTCTGTAAATAATTTTTAATTTCCTATAATTTGTTGCTTATATAAAAGCACAATTATATGGAAATTAAAACTGCTATATTTCTAAACTCATTAGTTCTAGCAGCTTTTATGTACATTCTCAAAGATTTTCTACACAATTAAGCATGTCATCTGCAAATAAGGACAGCTTTATTTCTTCATTTTCAAACTCTATGACTTTTATTTCTTTTGGTGACCTTAATACACTGGGTGGAACAGAGATCAGCAAACTGTATGGCCTCTGCACCAAACTGATCCCACTACTTGTTTTTTGTACAACTATAAGCCAAGGGTGATTTTCGCATTTTTAAATGTTTAATAGAAAACTGAAGGAATACTATTTAATGCACACGCAAACTACATGAAATTTAAATGTCAATATCCATAAATAAAGTATTACTGGAAGAGAGCTACACTGTTTACATACTGTCTATGGCTGCTTTTACGCTGCAGCAGGAAAACTCAGTACTTGCAACGTCGACTATAGTCATTTATAGGAAATATTTGCTGACCCCTGGCGTGGTAAGAATAGTCTTCCTTCTCTTGTTAATACTTAATCCCTATTAACTCTTTTTTTTTTTTTAACAAGGAGATTTTTATTCATGTGTTCAACAAAGATAAGGTTTTGTCACACTCAAGGCTTTGGAAAAAGAGGCACTCTCTATTCCTTCATGTAAAATAGCAGTACAAAATGGAACAAGCTTTTCATTTGCCTTCCAACTTTTATTTTAGATTCAAGGGGTATATGTACAGGTTTGTTACATGGGTAAATTGTGTGTCGTGGGTGTTTGGTATACAGATAATTTTGTCACTGAGGTAGTTAGCCTAATACCTAACAGGTAGTTTTTCAATCCCTACCTTTCTCCCAACCACCACTCTCAAGTAGACCCCAATGTCCCTTCCTTGTGTCCATGTGTACTCAGTGTTTACTTCCCACTTATGAGAACATGCAGTATCTGGCTTTCTGATCCAGAGTAAATTCACTTAGGATAATGGCCTCTAGCTCCATCCAACTTCTTAATTATTAAACCATGAATGAGGAACAGCTATTTGGTTTACGCTGGAAGCAGGAACATACCAAAGGCTCATTTAACATTTATTTTCCATATATGCATGAATTGCTTTCAGATTAATATAGGACAAAATAATCTTCACTGTTAATCGTGACTTCAACAAAACTAAGACAATAGCATGATACCTAAAATATATATCAAGCCAATTTGTAGAAAGTACACAATAGGTAACAGGAAGCATATCAACAGTTTTTGATAAAACTTTTAAAAATGTTCTACTAAAAGTCTACTGCTTTTATTTTTAAGGAGAATCACTATAAAATCATCACTTTATATACTAAAGAGAGAGAGAGAGAGTGTGAGAGAGTGTGTGTGTGTGTGTGTGTGTGTATAAATGACTGATCTATTTCAACAAACAAAAAACATACCCATAATAAAAGGCAGCCATAAGCATATAAGTCTGAACTTGGAGAAGCAGGTTTTCCCATTTTCAACTCAGGTGATATCAAACTCAAGTCACCAACCATCATGTTCACTGAGGCTCGCTGACTCTGCAAAAACAGTATTTTAAATATTTTACATACAACACAGTTGAGGTGACTTTCTGAAGTACTCTCCATTTAATCAATATAAATAAACAAATTCATTTTAAATATTTCATTCTCTTGCTTTCAAATAGTTTTATCTAATTTTTGCTACTATAAATTGCTCTTCAAATCAGTCTCATAAATTATGGAACTTTTTTTTAAAGTTTTTTTTAAAACTTGAACAGATTTAAAACTAATAACCACTGAGTCTGTGATTAAACGTTTGATACTTTTTAAAAAATACATCTCATACAAGTAAGTGGCAGTGCTATATCCTAATTCTGAAAATTCTAATATTTCATTTAAAAGCTGAAATGCTACAAAGTACTTTCCCTCCTTACTGACCAGTTTCTAAATATATCAATTCTAACATGCAAAGATGATCAGTGACAATAGCATGAACCCTGGATTCAGGCAGATCTTGGTTACAATTCCCCAGTCCCCCATTTATTTGCTGTGTGACCTTGGAATTTAACCTCTTTTTTGTCCATTTTTAAAATTTATTTTTAGTTTTTATGGATACATAGTAGGTGTAAACCTCTCTGAACCTAGATTAATTTGTAAAATGGAAATAATGTCTACCTTACAGAGATACCTATCATGTACCTTAACTAAGCGCTATCTTTTCTCTAGCTATGATTTTGATCCTTGCTTCTCAAAGTATGGTCCAAAGGCCAGGAGCTACAGCATTAACTAATAGCTTGTTAGAAATGCAGATGATCCACTGTAGAAATGCTGAATATTAATTTGCATTTTAACATGATCACCAGGTGAGTCATATGCACTATAAGGTCTGAAAAGCAACGATCTTGATCTCAGACTACTTTCCAAATTTAATTTCCTGATGGACACTTCAATATGAAAGCTGCATGGAAAATGTAGCAAAAGGTTTGATCAATATTTCAGAACACGTATTTTAACTGAAAATTAAAAATAATGTTTTGAGGAATAATAGGTGATGAATATGTATTTTTAAAAAAGAGTAATTGCTGGACTAGTCATATCTACAATTATGCAAATGGTATAAGGTAAACTAACCAGAATCCCTAAAGTTTGCTATCTTTTAAAATTCATAATTCAGTTATATTCCTTAGCATATCTTAATTTTCATTTAAACTAATGTCATAAAGTAAATACTTCAGAAAATCAATTATATTCCTTAGCATATCTTAATTTTTGTTTAAACTAATGTAATAAAGTAAATATTTCAGAAAATCAATCTGTATAAATCCCATACAATCTAGCTTTTGATTATAGTTGCGGTTTCATTTTCTTATCTTTCTGCGCTACCATATGAAAACCGTTAAGACTACATATACTCCAGTAGCGTTACCCTATCACTTGCAGATGATCTAAGTATAAAAGCATTGTTAACATACAGTAGTCAAAGGAAATTGCTCAGATAATAACAAATGTTGGTAAGGATCCAGAGAAAACGAAATCCCTATACATTACTGATAAGAATGTAAAATGAGATAGCTACTTTGGAAAACAGTTTGGCTCCTCAAAAAGTAAAATAATATAACCCAGTAATCTGACTCCCAAAAGAAATGTGAAAACATGTCCACACAAAAAAATTGTATGCTAATGCTTATAGCAGCATTATTCATATAACCAAAAGGTATAAACAACTCAAATGTTCAGCAACTGAATATATAAACAAAATGTGGTGTATCCATACAATGAAATATAATTTGGTAATAAAAAGGAATGATGTGGCCCGGCGCGGTGGCTCAAGCCTGTAATCCCAGCACTTTGGGAGGCCAAGGTGGGTGGATCACGAGGTCGAGAGATCGAGACCATCCTGGTCAACATGGTGAAACCCCGTCTCTACTAAAAATACAAAAAATTAGCTGGGCATGGTGGTGCGTGCCTGTAATCCCAGCTACTCGGGAGGCTGAGGCAGGAGAATTGCCTGAACCCAGGAGGCGGAGGTTGCGGTGAGCCGAGATCGCGCCATTGCACTCCAGCTGGGGTAACAAGAGCGAAACTCCGTCTCAAAAAAAAAAAAAAAAAAAGGAATGATGTTCTGATGCAGTCAACAATGTGAAAGAACTTTGAAAACAATATGCTAAGTGAACTAAGCATAAAAGGCCACATATTATATAATTCTATTTACATGAGATGCCCAAAATAGGAAATCCATGGAGACAGAAAATGCATTAATGGTTTCCAGGCTTGAGAAGAAAGGGAATATTTGAGTGACTGCTTATCAGTATGGATTTTCTTTTTGGGAATGATAAAAGTGTCCTAGAATTCAATACTGATTATCACTGGACAACTTTGTGAATGTACTACAACTATTACTGAATTGTATACATTACGTGAACTGTATCTCAGTAAAGCTGTTACTTTTAGAAAAATAACTGCTGATTTGGCTACTCCACAATGACTACATACTTCAAAACATCTTGTTGTATATGATCAATATACACAATTTTTATTTCTCAATTAAAATAGGGAATTGTTCCCTATGATCATGAGTATTTTGAGACTACCCATTATAACAAAAAAAAAAATCACAACATTCTCTTAAATTGTCTTATCTTTGCTATCTCTACAAACTGCCTATTCTAAGATGATATAACTCCAAATTAACAGCCATTAGAGTTGAATCAGAATTTAAACTAAAAAGCCCAAGGTTTCCAGGTTTCTAAAAATGCACATTATTACCAAAAAATAGCGGAGCATCTATATTTAAAGTGTTAGAGGGAGGGACACCAGTGGAGAGAGGTTGGGAGATGGCCACCTAATTTCCTTGCATGTTTCCTAGCAATTAAATGTTTCCTAATGATGATAAAATAATTAATGTTGTCAATGCCACTGGGTATATAATGTCAGGTAGCTCCTAAGACTTACGGTTAAAATACACAATGAATGAACTTAGAAACTCTTCTTCTAGCACCTAGCTGAGAGCAGATAGTCACTTATACTACATGACATAGTTTAACTAAAGGCAAAGATCCTATAATAAATCATATTATATATAAGTGCTGAACTACTGCTTAATAATATTAAATAAAGTCTAGAACCTATTTGTAAAATCATGATATCTTACCACAGATTTGGTGAAGTCATAATCTCCAACAATTCCTTGTTCACGGTTTAAAGCAAATACATTGTTCTGATGAAGTGATCCATGAATTATGTCAGCCTTATGCAATGTATGCAGGCCCTGGGCAACACCTTTCATGACCTTTAAGGCTTCCTATGGATAAGTACACACAAAAGTGAGGCAAACCACTTTAATCTTGAAACTCTTCTCTAATTAAAAGACTGCTCTAGAAGTGGGTGAAGTTTTCTCCAAATGAACCTTTAATAAGAATATAGCATAGAGAAAGAATTAAAGACCAGATGAAGCCTTGATTATATAATGGTGATACCGGGTGTGTGTGTGTGTGTGTGTGTGTGTGTGTGTGCGCGCGCACGTGCGCAATTATACATCATACCTTTTTGGTACCAAAGACTGGTTAAATGAAACACAATTTTTCCACGGATGGGGGGTTGGTTTTGGGATCAAACTGCTCCGCCTCAGATCACAGGTATTAGATTCTCATAAGAAGTACGCAACTTAGATCCCTCACATACACAATTCATAATAGGGTTTATGCTCCTGTGAGAATCTAATGCCTCCACTGCTCTCACAGGAAGTGGAGCTCAGGCAATAATGCTTGCTCACCTGCCACTCACCTCCTGCTGTGCCGCCCTGTTCTTAATAGGCCACAGACTAGTACTAGTCCATGACCTGGGGTTTGGGAACTCTTGTTCTATTACCTTAAAGAAGGCTTGGATTACAAATACCAACTATGTAAAGTACCTACAAGAGACTGAAACAGTATTACTCCATAGGAAGAATCAGTGCCTCCTTTACTGTTATTAGTAATCCTAAATTTACAATGATAAAAATTAAAGCTGCCACTTAAGCATTTATAATACTAAGTGCTATATCAGGCAGTTCACATACAGCACAGTTTATTAGTTATAAGCTTGGGCTTTGGAACCAGAAGGACTTAATTTAAAGCCCCAACTCTACCTCTGGCTAAGGGACCCTGTGCAAGTCAATCCCTTTAAGCCTTTTTCTCATCCATATAATATGACAATTCCTATCATAGGTTTGATGCAACAATTCAATAGAATACCACAAGTCAAAATTTTACAAAGTATATAACATGTAGTATGCCCTGAATATTAGGTGTGTGTTCTCATTTAATACATCCATGGAAATAAACAGTGCTTACTTCTGAATTTTAATACTTACTTCTGAATTCAAAGGCATGCTGGCTTGAATGGCACTCAGGTTTGCCCTAGGGTAGTATGGGGCCATCACATAAGCCATAGGATCAGACTAAGAAGCAAAACAGAGAATGTGACTCCAAGTGAAAACTTCTTCAACATATTTTTAGCATACATGGATTCTACAGAATAAATTTTGTTTATGTTAAGGGGAATGAACTGTTGCTCTAAAACCTGGAGCTAAACTTATTTTACATAAAATGTTTTCTGCAAGAGATTATCATAAGAACTTTACCTTACATAAAAACAGGAATATCAATGGAAGTAACCCTGACTCTTCTTCAGCTTCTTTCCAAGCTCTATGATAGGCAGCTGCTCTCTCAATCACCTTGGCTTCTGTGTCAACATCCACAGAATAGCCCTTATACCAAAAAAAGAGGCACTTGTAATTCCAACATTGAACATTATAATTATACACCATTCCAATTTAAACATAATAAATTATTTTAAGTTAAATACAATCTAATTTTATGTTTTAATTTTGTAAGTACTTTTCTATCTTCTTTGAATGCTACAATTTGGAAAAGGAAAGTGTGATTCTACCTGTAGCCTGCTACACATTCTAGAATGTGCAGCCACTAAGGCCAAATTAGTTATCTCATTATCATGATTAACAGTTTCTCATATCGATGAGAAGAAGAAATTAAAGAGTAGAAGACTGTACTCAAAATATAGCTGAGATTTCAAGGAGAAATGTAAGAAAAATCAAGAATTTTGAAAAGACATAAGTTCACCCAATAAAAAAAGGAAAGTATATCCTATTAAGGACATATTCTATTTAGGGAAATGAGGGAAACTTTAAAACTAAAAATTAGTTCTAGTAACCAAACTAGAAGCAAAATTACCATGCCAATCAACTTATATAGAAAATTTTATAAAACTAACAATGAGTTTTATTCTTTCTTAAAAAGTAACAGCACCACTATCCTTTATACTGCTGAATCTCCTACAAGTAAGAAGTTAGGCTTACCTTTAACAGAATTATCTGCCCATTAACCTCAGAGCATACCAAAGGACGCTTGCTGCTAAGTTCTTTCATGGGCTCAGCATCAAGAAGATCTCGTTCCAAGCTCATTGTAAGGAGACCACCAGAGTTCTAGGCACAAGTTTTTACTACAGTTGAAGAATCCAAACAATCCCAGCACTTAGAAATCATCAACTTAATTAGTTACATGCTATTAAATGACTTGAACATCATCAATGGTACTCAAAAAAACAATAAAATTAAAATCTTTATAATTTTGTATTACCTCCAGTTCCTGGCTCTTATACTCCTCCTACCCAAAGTGTAATCTCCATACATTTAATTGCTACTATAATTTTCGAACAGATTCAGAAAATGACTAGAATTAACCAGACATGCTTCCTAGGAGCCCTAATGTTTACTTGAAAAACCACATATGTTTCCTAAAAATACTAAAGTAATGACAGATTGGGAGGGAGGTAAAAAATGAAGGACTACATATTGGGTTCGTGTACACTGCTCAGGTGATGGGTGCACTGAAATCTCAGAAATGACCGCTAAAGAACTTATCCATGTAACCACAAACCACCTGTACCCCCAAAACTATTGAAATAAACATTTAAAAATAAATAAATAAACAAATAAGGTAAAATAATGACAAAAATGTAGTTGTAGAACGGGAATGATTCATCCAAAAATTATGCCTACCATGAAGTAATTCTAACACCTCTACCCATGTTTGGAATCCTCAAAAGTGAAAATGGCTTTCAATAACTAATTTTACTAGGTATTTCTGCCGCTTTTTAAAAGAAATAATTTGTCACACTAAAATATAATTGCCAGCATTTTAAATAAAGCTAAGTTTTACTGTGGTGTAGTCTTAGAGGTGTTGTAGAATTGTTTTCTGCTATTTTTTAAGTCTTGTCAGTACATTTAAGTATTCTACAATATATAATCAACCTACAAAAAATTCCTAATCATACATTACAGCTAAACATCTGAAAGCCATTAAAGGCTTCTATAAACCATGAGTCAAATCTTTTATAATCTTCTATAATAAAGTAGATTAGCATATTTTAAAATATTAATTTTCAAGTCCTATGTGTCAGTACATACTCATTTGCCCATACTGCATAATATAATCGCTAAGCTAGAGTTTAACAGTTGCAAGGAAAAACGCCTATCATTTTAAAGTCTAGTCTGGAAAGAGTTTAGAGTAACTATTTAATTCAGGGAACTTTAATCTTAAATATTTTTTAGAATAAACTCACATGTCTATACAAATATCCCTCTCTGTACTATATTTAAGCCATTATAATGGAATTAATGACAATCTTAATTAATATATACTTCATCTAGGCCCTCACCATAGAAGGCAATATAAAATGCAGGACTAACAGACTCTGTCCTGAGAGCCATTGTTTACTAATCCTGCTCCATATGGCCCCTATATAACACGCTGATCTCCAGCTTTGGAATCCTGCCTGCCTAAAAAACCATATTCACCTCAACATCTCTACCTTACCCAACCTCTCTAGAATTTTCTCCCAGCCTGCTTTAACTTAAAAAACACATGGTGCAGCTGGGTGCAGTGGCTCACGCCTGTAATCCCAGCACTCTGGGAGGCCGAGGGGGACAGATCAGGAGGTCAGGAGTTTAAGACCAGCCTGATCAACATGGTGAAACCCCATCTCTACTAAAAACACAAAAATTAGCTGGGCATGGTGGCTAACACCTGTAATCCCAGCTACTCAGGAGGCTGTAGCAGAAGAATCACTTAAACCTGAGGGGCAGAGATTGCAATGAGCCAACATCACGCCACTGCACTCCAGCCTGGGCAACAGAACAAGACTCCATCACCAAAAAAAAAAAAACAAAACACACACACACCTTGTGCTTAAATCTCTCATGGCTAGCACTATCTTGTTTTTATCTTTTTTTTGAGATGGAGTTTTGCTCTTGTTACCCAGGCTGGAGTGCAATGGCGCGATCTCGGCTCACCACAACCTCAGCCTCCTGGGTTCAGGCAATTCTCCTGCCTCAGCCTCCCGAGTAGCTGGGATTACAGGCACGCACCACCATGCCCAGCTAATTTTTTGTATTTGTAGTAGAGACGGGGTCTCACCATGTTGACCAGGATGGTCTCGATCTCTTGACCTCGTGATCCACCCACCTCGGACTCCCAAAGTGCTGGGATTACAGGCTGGAGCCACCGCGCCCGGCCCTCTTTTTATCTTAAGTCTTGAAATAGTAGTTAAAATTTTATTTTGTCATTTCAAAAAATAAATAACCTATAATTCAAATAAGTGCCATGCAATGTACTGAATATGGATGAGGAAAACAGAACAACATATAATGCAAACTAACATAAAAATATATCCCATGCAACTATTAAAGAGTCATGAGAAAAAGTTCTAATGCCCACAGAATATTCATCAGGAATACTTTTATTAAAAGGATACGGTAAGTTTAACACTGCCACAAATTTAATATTATCACTTTTCAACACTCTCTGCAGAGTAGTAATTCTCAAGGGAAACAAAGTTTACCATGTATTTGAGTAATCCTATTTCAGGATGAAGCAGAGGCAGCTCAGGGAACCATTTCTGTGCCAAACTAGTCAGCTTCTCCTAAAGTTTAAAAAAAAAAAAAAAAACGTTTTTAATGGTATATGTATTTATATACAATTTGTATCAGCATCTACCTTATAACATATCCAATAAGATATATAATCATTGATTTTGCCTTCTACTTCGAGAAATAACAAGTGAAAACCGAGATTCACCTTGCATCTGCTATAAAGCAAATTAGGTACGGCCTGAAAAGGACTCTGTGCTTCTATATTTGAGTCCATGTGGATGAACCATAACCTAGCTTAACAGGTAGACAAGATTGAAAACCTAACTTAGCAGTATGTACCTATAACAATAGCTGAGTCTTGGCCAATCCAAGCGGCCATACTTTAACCATTCATAGACTGCTAAGTGTTCAAACTGTGTTCAAATAAGGCAAATGCCAACCTGTAACCAATCCAGCTGTTTCGGTACCTCACTACCAATTTCTGTAAGTCACTTCCCTTTCTTTGTCTATAAATTTGTTCTGACCACAAAGATCCCCACAGTCTCTCCAAATCTGCTGTGATTCTGGGGGGCTGCCCAATTCATGAACTGTTCCTTGCTCCTTTAAATTTAATTTGGCTGAAGTCTTTCTTTTAACCCATCTAAACTACCATCTTACCAACTGAAGAAAAATTTAATTACCAATTTTAAGTCTGAATACATACATAAGCACAAATCTTGCAAGGTCAAAGTTCACACCCACTTGCAAACTAAAATGAAAAAGTCTGATAATATACCAATTTGAGGCACAAAACTGTTATTATTTCTCAAAATATTAAGTACACAGTGACATTTTAAAATAATAGCTGTTCAATTAAGAAAAAAATTTAAAGTCGGAGAGAAAAAATACACAGCTCTACATAAATAACTTTGAAATAAATGTGAAAATTTAATATTCTTACAAAAGGAAAGCCACTTGTCATATATTAAGCAAAAGTTCTAAACACTTGTCAAATCACTGGGAGATAGCTATTTTAACCCAAGGTCCACAATGTATTTATATATACTCAGGTGAATTTTCTAAATAAAGCATGACACTTAAAATATCTATTGTTTTCACAGTATTAATGTTTTTATTTTACTTTTTTTTAAGACAGGATCTTGCTCTGTTGCCCAGGCTAGAGTACAGTGGCATGATCATAGCTCACTGCAGCCTCAAACTCCTCGGCTCAAGCAATACTCCTGTCTCAGCCTCCAAAATAGCTGGGTCTACAGGTACATGACATTATGACTGGATAACTGTTTTATTTATTGTAGAGATGGAGTCTCACCATGACTCCCAGGCTGATCTCAAACTCTTGGGCTCAAGTGATCACAACACCTCGGTCTCCCCAAAGTGCTGGGACTATAGTTGTGAGCCACCATGCCCAGTCAGTATTTTTACTTTCAAAGAACTTTTTCTTAACTAACTTCTTCTTCATAACATCTCCCAGACATAAAATATAATATTCTTCCCATTTTAAAGAAAAAATATAATGACTTATTTCCCAAGCTCACAAAAATTAGTGGTAAAATAGAGACCTAAAAGATGTAACTTCCCCTGCCCCCAAAACCAGGCAGTCTTATTTTGTTACATTCTTCAACTAAATTATGCTGCTCCATTAATCTTTTCATAGCAACATTCTGGACAATGGCATTGATATAAATTTTATATAAGGAAAAGGTCTTTAGGTTTTACGTTAAACAGAAAAAAGGCAATATGCAAAAGCGTGTCTGTGCTATAATCTCAATTCTAAAAACCAGCTAAAAAAAGAAATAAAGTAAGTCAAAAGTTACCAATTATTACTACTGTTATCACTGAGTGTAACATTACAGGTGATGTTTTTCCTTCTTTTTAATTTTCAGCCATTTCCACACTGAGACAATGGTCAGAATATTTTGTCATGTCAAATTAATTTCTAAATTTACAGAAATATTACTAGGTCTATATATATATTATTTATATTATATATATAATATAAACTTTCTATATAATACCTCTAGCCTTGTGATTATAGTCCACTTCATAAAATGAATATTTAAATTCAATTTCTAGAGTAAAATCTAATGTAAAACTTCAAAGAATCAAATACTTACATATTCCTCCCTCTCATAATAAATTTCCTGAAAGACATTATTGCGCAGCTGGGTTATTTCTTCTTTTATTTTCTCAATTTGAGAGTCATCAGGGTCATCTGACTTCAATCAGAAAGAAAAAGCATTTTTTACTAACACAGAACAAACAAGTCTTCTTTCAAAAATTCAAGTACTGTAGTAAATTACTCTGTGTGATTTCTTTCTTTTTTTTTTTTTTTGAGTCAGAGTTTTGCTCTTGTTACCCAGGCTGGAGTACAATGGCACGATCTCGGCTCACTGCAACCTCTGCCTCCTGGGTTCAGGCAATTCTCCTGCCTCAGCCTCCTGAGTAGCTGGGATTACAGGCACGCACCACCATGCCCAGCTCATTTCTTTTGTATTTTTAGTAGAGACGGGGTTTCACCATGTTGATCAAGATGGTCTCGATCTCTTGACCTCGTGATCCACCCGCCTCGGCCTCCCAAAGTGCTGGGATTACAGGCATGACCCACCGCGCCAGGCCTACTCTGTGTGATTTCTATGTATCCTTCAGTAATAGTACATAAGAGACCCTGCTAATACTTGCTAAATTAACTTAGATCAATTTATTCTAAAAAAGACTTTTCTGAAACCTAGAAAAATTATAAAAAGCAAAGACATAAAATCAATTACACAGATTTTTCTTGTCTCTTCATCTGCTTTAGATTTTCTCTAAGATAAAAATGGCCAACTGCCATTATAAAAGAAATGTTAATAGCAACCAGAATACACCTGAATTCCCTAGAATTGTCTTCTACATGAGATTTAGTTAAAAACAAAACAGAAGAATGAATAAATGTGTGAACTGTCACCAATGATAATACATAAGCCACCTTAAAAAGTATGTATGCTTTTGTGAAAGGAAAATAATTCTTGAGAACCTTAAATTACTAAGCCAAAGGAAAAAGTCAAGCTGGGAACTGTGTCAGGCAAATCTTCTTCCCATTTTATTCCTAAATAAGATAGCTATAAAGATTTAAAAAACTGCATGCCTCCCTCACAATCTGCTCAGTAGGAACTTGCTTATGGGCCCCAAGATCTTTACCCTATTAACAGTTCTGTTAATTTTACACTGACAAGGTAAATTAATAGCTTATTTTCTCAGGTGCAGGATAAAGGACAGAACTCTAAGTCATCCCTTTGCTCACCTGAGACAAATGCATACCTAACTCCTTCCTCTGTAAAAATGCAGATTCACTGAGCTAGCAACTATTCCTCTACCCCTCTCTCAAATGTAAATTGTGCATGTGCTGAAAGTTGATCAAAGACTAAAGAATGCGAACCATCTGTCTCTTATCTACCCACATCTTTTTTAAATTCCTTCCTCTTTCCCCAATATCCATCCTTTTGCCTTTAAATATTTTAGCCCTCAAAATTGTCTCTGAGAAAGGCACAGACCTGCCTTCCAGGCATGCATCCTTAACCTAGGCAAAATAAATTTCTAAATTGATTGAGACCTGTTTCAGATACTTTTGGCTTACACTTTAAAAGTCAGATTTCAAGGATCCAGATATTAAGATGGCCAAATAAGAACAGCTCTAGTCTATAGCTCCTAGCAAGATCAACACAGAAGGCGGATGATTTCTACATTTCCAACTGAGGTGCCTGGCTCATCTCATTGGGACTGGATAGACAGAGGATGTAGCCCACAGAGAGGGACCCAAAACAGGGTGGGGTATCACCTCAACTGGCAAGTCCAAGGGGTTGGGGAACTCCCTCCCCTAACCAAGGGAAGCCATGAGGAACAGTACATCCTGGCCCAGATACTATGCTCTTCCCACACTCCTCACAACCCACAAACCAGGAGATTCCCTCAAATGCCTACACCACCAGGGCCCTGGGGTTCAATCACAAAACTGGACGGCCATTTGGACAAACACTGAGCTAGCTGCAGAAGTCTGTTTTCACACCCCAGTGGCATCTGGAATGCCAGCAAGACAGAACTGTTAACTCCCTGAAAAGGGGGCTGAAGCCAGGGAGCCAAGTGGTCTTGCTTAGCAGATCACAACCCCACAGAGCCCCAGTAAGCTAAGATCTACTGGCTTGAAATTCTCACTGTTAGCACAGCAGTCTGAAATTAACCTGGGTCACTATAGCTTGGTGGAGGGAGGGGTGTCCACTATTACTTAGGCTTGAGTAGGCAGTTTTTCCCTCACTGTGTAAACAAAGATGCCATGAAATTCTAACTGAGCAGAGCTGACTGCAACTCAGCATAGCCACTGTAGCCAGATTACCTCTCTAGATTTCTCCTCTCTGGGCAAGGCATCTCTGAAAGAAAGGCAGCCCCAGTCAGGAGCTTATAGATAAAGCTCCCATCTCCCTGGGACAGAGCAACTGGGAAAGGGGAGGCTGTGGGCGTGACTGCAGCAGACTTAAACATCCCTGCCTGACAGCTCTGAAGAGAGCCATAAATCTCCTAGAACAGTGCTTGAGCTCTGCTAAGAAACAGACTGCCTCCTCAAGTGGATCCCTGACCCCCGTGACTCCTGACTGGGAGACACCTCCCAACAGGGGTCACCAGACACCTCATACAGGAGAGCTCCAGCTGGCATATGGTGGGTGCCCCTCTGGGACAAAGTTTCCAGAGGAAGGAACAGGCAGCAGTCTTTGCTGTTCTGCAGCCTCCACCAATGATACTTAAGAAAACCGGATCTGGAATGAACCTCTAGCAGAGCTGTGGCAGAGGGGCCTGACTGTTAGAAGGAAAACTAACAAATAAAAAGGAATAGCATCAACATTAATCAAAAGGACATCCACACCACCACATCAGAAGGTACCAACATAAAACACCAAAGGTAGATAAATCCACAAAGATGAGGAAACACCAGTACAAAAAGGCTAAAAATTCCAAAAACGAGAAAGCCTCTTCTCCTCCAAGGGATCACAACTCACCAGCAAGAGAACAAAACTGGATGGAGAACAAGTCTGACAAACTGAGAGAAGCAGGCTTCAGAAGGTGGGTAATAACAAACTCCTCCAAGCTAAAGAAGCATGTTCTAACCCAATGCAAGGAAGCTAAGAACGTTGGAAAAAGGTTAGAGGAATTGCTAACTAGAATAACCAGTTGAGACAAGAACATAAATAACCTGATAGAGCTGAAAAGCACAGCATGAAAACCTGGTAACACATACACAGGCATCAATAGGTTAACCAATCAAGTGGAAGAAAGGATATCAGAGACTGAAGATCAACTTAATGAAATAAAGCATGAAGACAAGATAAGAGAAAAAAAGATGAAAAGGAACAAAGCCTCCAAGAAATACAGGACTATGTGAAAAGACCAAAACTACATTTGATTGGTGTACCTGAAAGTGATAGGGATAATGGAACCAAGTTGGAAAACATTCTTCAGCATATTATCCAGGAGAATTTCCCCAATCTAGCAAAGCAGGTCAACATGCAAATTCAGGAAATACAGAGAACACCACAAAGATATTCCTCGAGAAGAGCAACCCCAAGACACATAATCATCAGGTTTACCAAGGTTGAAATGAAGGAAAAAATGTTAAGAGCAGCCAGAGAGAAAGACTGGTTACCCACAAAGGGAAGCGCATCAGACTAACAGCAGATCTCTCAGCAGAAATCCTACAAGCCAGAAGACGGTGGGGGCCGACATTCAACATTCTTAAAGAAAAGAATTTTCAACGCAGAATTTCATATCCAGCCAAACTAAACTTCACAAGCAAAGGAGAAATAAAATCTTTTACATATAAGCAAATGCTGAGAGATTTTGTCACCACCAAGCCTGACTTACAAGAGCTCTTGAAGGAAGCACTATACATGGAAAGGAAAAACTGGTACCAGGGACTGCAAGAATGTACCAAATTGCAAAGACCATTGACACTAAAAAGAAACTGCATCAACTAACGGGCAAAATAACCAACTAGTATCACAATGACAAGATCAAATTCACACATGCCAATATTAACCTTAAATGTAAAAACAGGCTAAGTGACCCAAATAAAAGACACAGAAGGCAAATTGGATAAAGAGTCAAGACCCAATGGTGTCCTGTACTGAGGAAACCCACCTCAAGTGCAAAGACACAAATAGGCTCAAAAAAAAAGGGATGGAGGAATATTTACCAAGCAAAAAAAAAGCTGGGGTTGCAATCCTAGTCTCTGATAAAACAGACTTTAAACCAACAAAGATTTAAAAAGAAAGAACTACATAACGGTAAAGGGATCAACACAACAAGAACAGCTAACTATTCTAAACATACATGTAGCTAATACAGGACCACTCCGATTTATAAAGCAAGTTCTCAGAGACCCACAAAGAGACTTAGACTCCCACACAATAATAGTGGGAGACTTTAACACCCCATTGTCAATATTAGACAGAGCAACGAGACAGAAACTTGAAAAGATTATTCAGAACTTGAACTCAGCTCTGGACCAAGTAGATCTCATAGACATCTACAGAACTCTCCACCCCAAATCCACAAAATATACACTCTTCTCAGAAGTACACTGCACTTATTCTAAAATTGACCACATAATTGGAAATAAAATACTCCTCAGCAAACACAAAATAACAGAAGTTATAACAAGCAGTGTCTCAGACCACAGTGTAATCAAACTAGAACTCAAGATTAAGAAATTTCAAAACTGCGCAACTACATGGAAACTGAAACTCAACAACCTGCTCCTGAATGACTACTAGATAAATAAAAAAATTAAGGCGAAAATAAGTAAGTTATTTAAAACCAATGAAAACAAAGGCACAATGTACCAGAATCTCTGGAACACAGCTAAACCAGTGTTTACAGGAAAATTTATAGCACTGAATGCCCACAGAAGAAAGCAAGAAAGATCTAAAATTGATACCCTAATGTCACAATTAAAAGAACTAGAGAAGCAAGAGCAAACAAATTAAAAAGCTAGCAGAAGACAAGAAATAACTATGATCAGAGCAGAACTGATGGGAGATAAAGACAAGAAAAACCCTTCAAAAAAAAATCAATGAATCTAGAAGCTGGTTTTTTGAAAAGATTAACAAAACAGAAAAACTACTAGCCAGATTAATAAAGAAAAGATAAAATAATCAAATAGATGCAATAAAAAATGATAAAGGGAATATCACCACTGATCCCACAGGAATACAAACTACCATCAGAGAATACTATAAACACCTCTATGTGAATAAACTAGAAAATCTAGAAGAAATGGATAAATTCCTGGACACATACACCCTTCCAAGACTAAACCAGGAAGAAGTCGAATCCCTGAATAAACCAATAACAAGTTCTGAAATTGAGGCAGTAATACCCTACAAACCAAAAAGCCCAGGACCAGATGGATTCACAGACAAATTCTATCAGAGATACAAAAAGGAGAGGGTATCATTCCTTCTAACTATTCTAAACAATAGAAAAAGAGGGACTCCTCCTTAGTAACTCATTTTATGAGGCCAGCATCAACCTGATACCAAAACCTGGCAGATACACAACTAAAAAAATAAAATTTCAGGCCAATATCCCTGATGAACATCAATGTGAAAATTCTCAGAATACTGGCAAACTGGCCAGGCACGGTGGCTCACGCCTCTAATCCCAGCACTTTGGGAGAACAAGACAGGAAGACCTGAGGTTAGGAGTTCAAGACCAGTGGCCAATATGGTGAAACTCCGTCTCTACTATAAAATACAAAAGTTAACTGGGTGTGGTGGCACACACCTGTAGTGCCAGCTACTTGGGAGGCTGAGGCAGGAGAATCGCTGGAACCCGGGAGGCGGAGGTTGCAGTGAGCCTAGACTGCACCACTGCACTGCAGCCAGGGTGACAGATCAAGCCTCTGTCTCAAAAAAAAAAAAAAAAACTGGCAAACCGAATCCAGTAGCACATCAAAAAGCTTATCCACAACAATCAAGTTGGCTTCATCCCTGGGATCCAACGCTGGTTCAACATATGCAAATCAATAAATGTAATCCATCACATAAACAGAACCAATGACAAAACTACATGATTATCTCAAAGATGCAAAAAGGCCTTCAATAAAATTCAACACCCCTTCATGCTAAAAACTCTCAAGAAACTAGGTATTCATGTAATACATATCAAAATAATAAGAGCTATTTACGACAAACCAAAAGCCAGTATCATACTAAATGGGCAAAGCTGGAAGCATTCCCTTTGAAAACTGGCACAAGACAAGGATACCCTCTTTCACCACTCCTAGTCAACGTAGTATTGGAAGTTCTGGCCAGGGCAATCAGGCAGGAGAAAGAAATAAAGTGTATTCAAATAGGAAGAGAGGAAATCAAATTGTCTCTGCAGATAAAATGATTTTATATTTAGAAATCCCCATCATCTCAGCTCAAAACCTCCTTAAGCTGATAAGCAACTTTAACAAAGTCTCAGGATATAAAATCCATGTGCAAAAATCACAAGCATTACTATACGCCAATAAGAGACAGAGAGCCAAATCATGAGTAAACTTCGATTCACAATTGCTACAAACAGAAGAAAATACCTAGGAATACTACTTACAAGGGATGTGAAGGTCCTCTTCAGGAAGAACAACAAACCACTGCTCAAGGAAGTAAGAGAGGTCACAAACACATGAAAAAACTTTCCATGCTCGTGGACAGGAAGAACCAATATCATGAAATTGGCCATACTGTATGCCCAAAGTAATTTACACATTCAATGCGATCCCCATCAAGCTACCACTGACTTTCTTCACAGAATTAGAAAAAACTACTTTAAATTGCAAATGGAACCAAAAAAGAGCCTGTATTGCGTAGACAATCCTAAACAAAAAGAACAAAACTGGAGGCATCATGCTACCTGACTTCAAACTATACTACAAGGCTACAGTAACCATAACAGCATGGTACTGGTACCAAAACAGAGACACAGACCAATGGAAAAGAACAGAAGCCTCAGAAATAATGCCACACACCTAAAACCATCTGATCTTTGACAAACCTGACAAAAACAAGCAATGGGGAAACGATTCCCTATTTAATAAATGGTGTTGGGAAAACTAGCTAGCCATATGCAGAAAACTGAAAATGGGCTCCTTCCTTAAACCTTATACAAAAATTAATTCAAGATGAATTAAAGACTTAAACATAAGACCCAAAATAAGAAACCCCAGAAGAAAACCTAGGCAACACCAGTAAGTACATAGGCATGGGCAAAGACTTCCTGACTAAAACACAAAAAGCAATGGCAACAAAAGCCACAATCGACAAATGGGATCTAATTAAACTAAAGAGCTTCTATACAGCACAGGAAAAAAAAACTATCATCAGAGTGAACAGGCAACCTTCAGAACGGGAGAAAATTTGTGCAATCTATCCATCTGACAAAGGGCTAATCTCCAGAATCTACAAAGAATTTAAATAGCAGCTGGGTACAGTGGCTCATGCCTGTAATCCCAGCACTTTGGGAGGCCCAGGCAGGCAGATCACAAGGTCAGGAGATCAAGACCAACCTAGCCAACATGATGAAACCCCATCTCTACTAAAATACAAAAAATTAGCCAGGCATGGTGACACATGCCTGTAGTCCCAGCTACTTAGGAGGCTGAAGCAGGGAAATCACTTGAATCGGAAGGCAGAGGTTGCTGTGAACCAAGATCGTGCCACTGCACACCAGCCTGGAAACAGAGCAAAACTCCATCTCAAAAAAGAAACAAGTTTACAAGAAAAAACAACACCATCAAAAAGTGGGCAAAGGATATCAACAGACACTTCTCAAAAGAAGACTTTTATACAGCCAACAAACATATGAAAAAAAGCTCATTATCGCTGGTAATTAGAGTAATGCAAACCAAAACTACAATGAGATACCATCTCACGCCAGTTAGAAAGGTGATCATTAAGAAGTCAGGAAACAGATGCTGGAGAGGCTGTGCTGAAACAGGAAGACTTTTATACTGTTGGTAGGAGTGTAAATTAGTTTACCCATTGTGGAAGACAGTGTGGCGATTTCTCAAGGATCTAGAACCAGAAATACCATTTAACCCAGCAATCCCATTAACTGGGTATATACCCAAAGGAATATAAATCATTCAGCTATAAAGACACATGCACACACAAATGTATTACAGCACTAGTCACAATAGCAAAGACTTGGAACCCACCCAAATGGCCATCAGTGACAGACTGGATGAAAAATATGTGGCACATACACCGTGGAATGCTATGCGGCCATGAAAAAGGATGAGTTCACGTCCTTTGCAGGGACATGGATGAAGCTGGAAACCATCATTCTCAGCAAACTAACACAGGAACAGAAAACTAAACACCACATGTTCTCACTAATAGTCGGAGTTGAACAATGAGAACACATGGACACAGGGAGGGGAACATCACACACTGGGCCTGTCGGGGGTGGGGAACTAGGGGAGGGATAGCATTAGGAGAAACACCTAATGTAGATGACAGGTTGATGGGTACAGCAAACCAGCATGGCACGTGTATATCTATGTAACAAACCTACACATTCTGCTCATGTACCCCAGAACTTAAAGCATAATTTTTTAAAAAGTCGGATTTCTCCAAAAGTTTAAAAATTAGACTAAAAAAATCAATTTCTCCAAAGCCCAGAATAGAGTAAAACTGGAAAGCCCTTCAACTATGATATTAGTTCTAGAAGTCCCCACTCCACCCACAATTAAGTGCTCAGAAGTAGAAGAGAGATCATTCACATTAGATTGAGGCACAAAACAGATCCTTTTTGTACATAAATCAAATCCTCAAGGGAAAACAAACCATCTTATTCACAAAATTTCAAGCCTAAAGGAAGAAGTTAGTCCAGATTAGAGCATATTAATCCTTACAGTTCTGTTATCCTATAAAAGCAACTTAAAATACTTGCAAGAAATACTACATCTATCCATAAAAAAGGGAGTTAACGAAAGATGCCATGATCTTAAAAATACTTTATGACAAAATGCTACCTTTGAGGGAGTACCCTTTCACCTGCATGTAGCAAGTTGGTATTACAACAAACATTTTAACAATCCAAACCAAAAGAGCTTTTAAAATTACTCTAAAATATTCAAGTTACTAAAAACCAAGGCAGTTTAGGAAAACGTTTTTAAAGAATATTTAATGATACAGGAAAATTTTTAAACTGTTAATGTAATCTCAGTTTTATTTATACACACAGAAAACAAGGCAAAATATATAAAACAAAATGTGAATGTAATGGCTCTCTTATTTTAAAGAGTGTATTTATGTATTATTTTTATGAAGCAGAGACCAAATAAAATGAGAGACATATAAAGATCAGTAAGAAGCAATTGTTTCCTTACTTCTTCCAAATTATTCTTTTCAACCAATTTCCATCTCAGTTGAGCTTTTAAGCTTTTCAATGTCTTCTTAATGGACAGCAAATGATCCACACTGGGAGTCTTATTTAAATATTCAATAAGCTGCTGTTTAAACTAAGTAAACAAAAGTTACATATTTTCAAACACATAAGAAAAATATTTATTGAACAGTCAGTGATCATTTATTATTTCTCTGTTAGGATTCAACTAGTATTTACTGAGGTTAGGTTAAGATACTAAGAAAATCTATAATTTTCAACAAGACAATTCAACAGATTTCCTTATCATCCATGTTTCTGTTTAGAAGAATATCAGTTCCAGCACCGAAAGCAGCAAAGACAAAGTTATATTTCAAACTGAGACACAGAATAAAACACACTGTGTCTTAGTGTGGATAAAAAAAGAACTTCTAGTGAGGATGTAAACTGAAATCATCTTTCCCAAAAGTGGGTTGACAATATATATCATTTTAATAATGTACATTCGCATTCCTTTTATCTCAATAATTATAAATTTAGAAATCTGAGAAATAAAAACAAAAATTATGCACAAACATATGTACAGTGTTATTTATGGTAGAAAAAACTGAAGTAACCTTAACATCCAACACACATGAAAGGTTAATGCTGTTATACTTCTATATAAGATGAAGATTCAGTCACTCAAAATGACAGTATAGAAAAATCATTAATCATGTAGAAACATGTTCAGAATATACCATTAAATGAAGAAAGTATTTTTGAAATAACTTAAAAAATCCAATGCATATATATATATATATATATATATATGTGCTCACAAACATATAGATGCACATCCAGTAAGGAAATACTCAAACTATCTCTTAGGCTAAGAGAATTATAAGGAATGTTTTATTTCTTATCTTCCTATATATAGCAAATTTTCTATAGTAGACTTGTACTGACAAAAAGAAAATGATGTTAAAGGTTGTGGTTTTCATGAACCTAAGAAAATCAAAGATTTAAAACAATAAAAAAATCTGATACATTTATATCATCAAAATCACCATTTCCAGTTGATAGTGAATTCTAGTAATAATAATTTACTGACACTGAGTATTAAACAACATGAGAAAAATTTAAGTATTAAAAATTTCAAAACATCAATTTATAAGATCCATAAGAGAAAGCACAATCTAACCTCAATACTGTCCTTGTACTTAGCTTGTACTGTGGTAATGAGCCTTTCCTCTGAACGAATCTTTTGCAGTATTTGACTATATGTATTTAAAATTATCTCCTTGTCTCCATCACCTTGATCCTAAATGAAATCACACACATAGAATTATACATACAGAAATATCCAAAATAGCTAAAGCCTCCAATAACAATAGATAAACTTCAAAATTATGCCTTTAAACAGATTTCTGTAGTTATTTCAAAACAGTTCTTAAATACAAATGTTTTTCTAGACAGAAGACAGATACCAAAGATGTTCATATGGAGGCCAGGTAAGACCCAGTTCCTAAAAAATATTGCTTCAATCAGCTGAGCACAGTGGTATACACTTGTAGTCCTAGCTACAAGTGAGACTGAGGCAGGAAAATTGAGGAGTTCAAGAGTGCAGTGAGCTATGATCACATCAATGCACTCCAGCCTGGGCAGGACACTGTCTCTCTTAAATAAACACACAAACAAAAAACAAGGCAAAGCCATTCATATGAGAAACTTTACCCCTATTACCCCATTATTCCCAAAGCTGTGTGGAGTGGAGTACAGCATTAATGGAAATCAGGGATACTAACATGCTAAATATAAGAACTATAAACAATATACAGACCTTCCACACTTTACTTTTAGAAATCACCTGTTAACAATGACTTCTAAAATCAAGTCTGACAAAACTATCTAGAGCAGGACTGTTTAACAATATATAACTTCTCAATGTATTTTTAATGCCAATATGAATAAAATAGGAAGAAGAAAACAAGTAAAATGAGAAGCACTGAGACATTGGAATGCAGCCTGAGTAATTGGGAAAGAGTCCCAATGAGCAATAATTAAAATTATAAAACACCCTTTGGAGTAGCTACACTAATTTTTACCTTGACACAGTAATTCAGAATATACACAACAGAGAAAGAAAGAGGATGACCAATCCATCTTGTGTGTCAACTATTAGAGCTCTCTCAGGTTTTAAGTTTTCACAAACTCAAAGAAGTCTCTTCTTATAGACATTGGATATGATATAGAATATATCATATATTGATATAGATCAAATAATACAGAAAGCTTGTCCACTCAGATTATGAGTGGTTTTCTTAGAATTAGATAGATATTTTGTGTAAAAATGTCCCAATAAAATGAAAATGTCACCTAAGAATAAGACTTTGCATTGTGTTTGGACTAGAACTTGACATTGTTAATCTTTCAAACAGGCCTATTAGAAGAAAGCTAAGACCAGTCTTAACAAGCAACAGAAAGTATATTACTGGTTAATACTTTCTAACCATGAAAGAAAACCACACTGCTTCAAAGGAAGCAATAATAAAAAGTATCAATACTCACAATCAGAGATATCTCCAGCTCTTTGCAGACACTTGACTCAGTCTTCTCTAGGATTTCATCAATATTACCAATTGTGTCTTCAGAAATCAGTGATTCTTCCACAGATAGGTCAAAAACCTCATTTGCAAAAATAAACACATGAAATATCTCATTTAATTCAATCAGCATTCATTGTGCCTTAATACCTGAAGCAGAGCATTAAGCTATACCTTGGGCAATGTAAAAGAACTAAGAATACAGAAAAAAAAGATAAAGTGCCTACCCTCATAAAATTTATGCACCAAAAGGAAAAAGGTACATACATATAGCATACCTAAAGAAAATAAATGGTTAAGAGAGGAAAGAGAACAATCCTTAGGAAAAGTTGAGAAAAAGGAAGAACAAGACCAACATGATTTTTTTCAAGACTAATAAAAGGGGCAATCTGACCAAAAGCTAATAAAAAACCTTGACTGGTAAGGTGAGAAGTTTATATCTGATACGTAGTAGGTAGATGATGTCAGCTTTTGAACAAAGCATGTTATTTTTAAAATATATATTCTCTGGTTTATGCCAGAAACATAATGGGGCAGAAGCTTTTACTACCTTTAAGGTTCTTTGGAACCATGCTACAAGACGCTGTAGAGAAGCCTCTGTTTCACTTCTAACATTGGTGAACTCTTCTCTTTTATCACACTTCCAGTCATAAAATTTTTTAAGTATTTCGTCAGAGTTTCCTCCTTCTCTGGCTTGTCCATACACTGCTTCTAAAGAGGCTGACAAATCCTGCAGAGAGATATACTTCTGTTTAATTAAATTTTATTAACTCATTCAGGACTCAAGCACTGCAGAAAAGCAGTATGCTGCATCCCCATTCTTGAGAATTTCATAAATACAACTCAGAATCAGGAGATAGAGATGAAAACACGAAACTACCTAGAAGGTGGTTTATTTGGACCATTACAGTAAAAGTTTATTAAGTGAATTAGTTACAAATAGAAAGCCTTATGTCCTTAGGTTTTTTAATTAAGTAGAAATTACTCTATTTTCCCTAACTTTTTTTGTATAAATTGATTGGGTACAAGAGTAATTTTGTTACATAGATATATTATGTAGTGGTAAAGTCTGGGCCTTTAGTATCTATCACCCAAATGTACAGGAACTCATTAAGTAATTTCTCAACAACCACCACCCTCCAGCCCCCCCACCATCCTTCTGAACTCCTCTGTCTATCATAAGAATCACTACTAGTGTGTCCTGGCATGAAAGTTTCTAAGACCTATTCCTAAATAAAAATAAACTATATACCAAAATATACAAATAGGTCTAATTAAGTAAAGGCATTAAACATATATATGTACAATCATGCACCACTTAACAGGGATACCTTCTAATAAATGCATCATGAGGCAATTTCAACATTATGCAAATATCATGGAGTATACTTATGCAAACCTAGATGGTATAGTTTACCACACAACCAAATTACATGCTACAGCCTCTTCCTCCTAGATACAGCATGTTACTGTACTGAATAACGTAGGCAATTATAACAGTAATTGCCTGTATAAACACAGAAAAGGTACAGTAAAAATTAAGAACTATAATTTTATGGTACCACCACCATATATGCTGTCCATCACTGACCAAACCATGCAGCACATGACTGTGCTTAAATGCATTTTTTTCATGAATTAGCCTGGCTGGACTTGTCGGGTCAGGTGTGGAAAAAAAAAAACAATAATAATAAATAGAAGTTTTTCGTGTAATAAAGAATTGGAAAAGACAAGATAGGCAGATAACGCAGCCTGCTAGCTCTCTCCAGAAATCAAAGTCTAGAAATTTTACAGAGACCAGAAAAAAAGGCTTAAGAGGTCTCAGAAATTTTTATCACAAAACTTTGAGAAATCTCAGAAAGGCAGAGGATGGTTGGTGGTTAGCACTGAATTAGTACAGTCCCTACAAGTCAAGAAGGACTTTGTCACAGCACAGAATTACCTGTAAGAAAAGAAAACTTTCTTCATAGGCCCTTTGCTACCCTGCTCACATCGGGAAGAAAAACAGCAGCACCAGCAAGAGGCAACAGGTTTATATAAGTACAGCACAAGAACACAGATGAGGCAAAAGTTGATTATCAGTATAGAAGAGCTGGCCAGCCCGACCATCCTCCTTCCTTCACTTCTTCCCTCAATAGCTAGCAGCACTTACATCTAAGGATGGTAGTGCCTGGAAAGGAACAGTAGCTAGGGTAGAGAGAATAGGGTTTTGCTGAGGAGTAAGACCATCCAGGAGATAAGCAAAGAGGGAGTAGATAATCCCCGACTGCAACATCAGAAGCTCTGGACCCTTAAAAACAAGTACGTTCTATTCCCTAAACCCACCCAAAATCTTAAATTTGTGGTCAAGGCTCTCACTCTTCACTAGGCCCTTCATATAACTATACAGCAGCAAAGAACTAAGGTAGTTTATAGTTCCAAGGGATTTTGAGATCTTGAGGAGAAGTTAAGAAGAGAACAAAATGGTGTGAACAGCACAAGCCCTCTAAAAGAAGTATAAAAAACTAGGCCACCTTATAAAAAGGAAGCAAAATCAGTGTCAGTGGCCCAGATAACAGTAAGAACTCAAAAATAAGCATAATAAATATTCTCAACAAAAAGAAAGAATATTGGAAACATAAAGCCAAGTACTTATAAATAATAACTAACTGAAGATATTAAATATAAAAGAAACAATCTCTGACATAAAAAACACAATGAATTGCCTAAACAGCTGAAGAAATACAGCTAGGGAATTAATTCATTACTTACATGGTTAAGTCAAGGATCCCTCCAAAAAGACAACAAGAAAAAGGTTTTACTTATTTTGTTTAACCCATCTCTTACATAAGATAAAAAGACTTTAAACAATAGATTAGCAGTTAAAATATGTAGAGAACAGAACTAGAAGATTAAGTATATATCTAACAAAAGTCTCAGAATAAAAGAAAATTTTAATGAGGAAGACAATACCTTAAGAAATAATTATCAAATATTACCTACAATTAAAGCAATATATAAAACCTCAGCCTGAACTGGCTCAGATTCAATCAAAACATAAATATGGTCTAAGGCAACTTAAGAACAAAGTCAAGAGAAAATTTTCAAACTTCCAGAGAGAAAAAAGATCACAGAAGAACAAAGATCAGACACGTATCAACAATTATGGAAATAAGAAAGCTGGGCACTTTGGCTCATGCCTGTAATCCCAGCACTGTGGGAGGCCAAGGCAGTGGATCATTTGAGATCAGACGTTCAAGACCAGCACAGCAAACATGGTGAAACCCTGTCTCTACTAAAAACACAAAATTAGCCAAGCACAGTGGCACATGCCTGCAGTCCCAGCTACTTGGGAGGCTGAGGCATAAGAACTGCTTGAATCCAAAAGGCAGAGGTTGCTGTGAGGTGAGATAGCACCACTGCACTCCAGTCTAAGTGACAGAGCAAGACTCTGTCTCAAATAAATAAATAAATAAAATTATAGAAATAAGAAGACAATAGATTATTGTCAGAGGTCTAAAGAAAACATGGCCCTTGAACTTACTGTTTTATAATCAGCTAAACAACTATATGTACTTGAGACCGAAGTGAGATAGCCTAAACATCAAATAACTCAAAAAATCAAATACAAAAAGATTTCTTTGAAAGTGCTTTTAGAGAAAATCTTCCAATACACAGAGAAAGCCAAGAGATAAACGACTCATGAAATAAGAATGTAAAAATAACTCTATTTAACTGAGCTATCACACACAATATCCATAACAAACTGTGACTAAAATCCTAGACAACTCTGATTGGTTCAATGGTTGGTTTGAGGGAAGGAGGTAGAAAAAGAGAGGAAAGACACCAAAAGCAGGTAAGAATGTTCTAAAGTATTAGAAGTGTGGCCAGGCACGGTGGCTCACGCCTATAATATCAGGACCTTGAGAGGCTAAGGTGGATGGATCACTTGAGGCCAGGAGTTCAAGACCAGCCTGGCCAACATGGTGAAACCCCATCTCTACTAAAAACAGAAATATTAGCCAGGCGTGGTGGCGCACACCTGTAATCCTAGCTACTCATGAGGCTGAGGCAAGAGAATTGCTTGAACCAGGAGGCAGAGGCTGTAGAGAGCCAAGATTGCACCACTGCTCTCCAGCCTGGGCAAAAGAGTGAGACTCCATCTCAAGGAAAAAAAAAAAGTATTAGAGGTGTAATTTAGAAAAGGAGAAAAAAAAGAAACCATGATAAACAGAAACATAAAAATAAGATCACAGAAATAAGTTCTAACAAAACAGTAATTATAAATACGTAAATTAAGTTACCAACAAAAGGGTATAGGTTTGACGCTTTCAAATATTAAATCCATTGGTGTGTTATCAAGAGGGATATTTCAAACTGTGAATACAAAAGGTTAAAAATAAAGGGAGAGGCCGGGGTGGTGGCTCGCCTCTGTAATCCTAGCACTTTGGAGGCAATAGTAGGTGGATTGCCTGAGCTAACGAGTTTGAGACCACTCTGGACAACATGGTGAAACTCCATCTCTACTAAAATAAAAAAAATTGGCCAGGCATGGTGGTGTGTTCCAGTAATCCCAGCTGTGTGCCTGTACTCCCAGCTACTGGGGAGGCTGAGGCAGGTGAGTTGTTTGAACCCGGGAGGGAGAGGCTGCAGTGAGCCAAAATCACGGGATTACACTTCAGCGTGGGCAACACACTGAGACTTCATTTCAAAAAAAAAATAAAATCAATAAAATAAAACAAGAAGAGAAAATTAAAAAAGAAAAGATGTTACAGTATTAATCAAAAAGAGAGGTGGCACAGGAACCTAAAATGGCAACAAAATAAAATTTTATTTTGTTTAAAAAAAAATCTAAGCAAAAAATAAGATTAAAAAGTAGTTACAAAAAAGACATTTTTATTATTATTTTTAAGTTTATTTTAGGTTTGGAGGTACTTGTGCCGGATGGGGGGAGGAATATACATTTTTAGACACATTACAACCATGAACACCTTAATGCCCATCAACGCGGCACTGAGATACTTTGAACAACCGAAAGAACAACAGGGACAAATAGGGACAAACCTATCTATTTTGGATATATGTAACAAAAATATCTCAAAGACTGTTGTACTGATCCAACCAAAACCTAAGTGAGTTTTAGATATATCTATTAACTGTACACCAAGAAAACCTAGAATACAATTTCTTTTTGAACTTAAAGAATGGTCACAAAAAATCAACCATGTGTTGTAGGCCACAAAAGAAGTCTAAATAAAATGTGGAAATCAGAAATCATAAACTTTAATTTATTTGACCTTCATTATAGAAATATATTTCTTGGATACTTGAAAAATATAAACTATTTCTCAGCAAAATAAAGAGAAGCTTAAAGAATATTTTGGTGACCTGAGGGGAATACCAGAAATGGAGACAAGCCAGATAAGGCAAAAAGTCTTCTAGCATTAAACTATTAAAAGAAAAGAGTTTAAGGATGATCTTAGTTGCAGAACCTTGACCTACATTTACTAATAGTGAGAAGAAGTAAACCTTTACAGGGTACAGCAGAAGTTGCATTGCGGAAAGGTAAATTCTTACTTATATTACTCCCCTTTTACATGCAAGGCTTACTTCACCATTCTGAAAGAACTTATATTACTTATGTAATTCCATTTAAAAAAATGTTTCAAACCGGGGCTCCATTGGTTCCTAAGCCATGTGGAGCATCATCGAAACTACATCTTCATCAAGGGGGACAGAAAGAAACAATGCCCAGATGTCCCTGCATATCTTCTTCTCCAAATTTCTATCAAGTTTATTCCCTGCAGTCCACAACAAGAGCAATATTAGCTACTGGTCAGCTAAGACTAGAGTAATTGACTAAAGCAGTAAAAATTCAAAGATGCATAAAAGGTAAAAGGACTAGAAGAGATTAAAGACTTACAGTTTTCAAATGATATGACACATAGAAAGCAAAGATAATCAATAGACAAATTAGAACTAAAAGAGAGTTCAGCAGAGCTGCCAGAGAAACATCAGTATATAAAAATCAACAGTAATCGTCTATTCAATCAATAATAAAAAATGAAAAGATAATATTCATAAAAGCAATCAAAAGTATAAATAAATAAAAGTTGAAAAATGCATAAGGACTTATACAGAAAAATTTTAAATAATATTAAAGGACAAAAAAGAGCTAAATAAGTAGAAAGAAATATTAAGTTATTAGGTAAAATGACAACACTGTCATGTTCATTCACCCCAAATTAAAGTCACGGCTGAGCTGAAGACAAGATTCCACCACATCATATAGCTATATTTACTATAGTACTCTAGGCTCTGATCACATCAGGGAGAAATTTCCCTGGTCATGCAGCCTAAATACCCTGTAACTCAAGGATGAGAGTTGATCCCTTCTCCCTTTAACATGCAGCCCTACTACATTTTCTGCTAGAATGCAATGGACGACAGGGAACCACATCCCTGCTACTACTCCTGTCTCAATTAATTTCCCCAGTGAATACTGCAGTAGGAACCTGGAGTCCCTGGCCATTTTATCTTGTTTGCAAGATAGGTATACACATACACACCATCACAAAATGTATTTATACAAACTGTGAATCCCATTTAAAAGAAACTAGAATTCAGGGAACAGGAAGAACTTTTGCAACCATCTGAGAACTATCTGACATCTCGAGGTAAATGCTAATTTCACTTCTTGAATAATAAACTTGCAATTTAATGTATATTTAATATATTTTTAATTCCAACCTGCAATGTTTTTAAGCGTTTATGAAGAGATGACTCATCAACTTCTAGAATTAAATCTTCTACTGACATGTACAGCTTCTGCTGCATTTCATTTCTTTGGGCAATCAAAATATTCCCTTCATTCTGGAAGAAGAAAAAAAGAATAACCACCATTAATACATTAGGTCTTTTCTGCACAAGACTTATATGAAAAAAAAGTGATCTCCAAAATAACTTTACATTCTCTAAACACAGCTCCAAACATAATATTAAGGACAAACATTTCTCTCCTTAGATCAATAAAATGACAAAAGGAACATTTAATTTCAAGAACTCTGATCTGCTAATTTTTATTTTTCACATTCTTTCTGCAACAATGAAATTGTTATTATTTGGGAAAAGTATGTAAGTTCCTACTAATTACATATGGCATCCTTCCTATTCCCATCCCACTCTCAATTCCTTCAGCTACTCATCTTTCAAGATACACTTAAAACAACAGGATAAATCTAATTTGTCCAAAAGACTGTGTTTTGAAATATGTATGTGAAAGATATCTAAGAACCCTATGCACTTTATTATAGCACTTGTCATACTGTAATGAAACTATATATTAATGTATCCATCTTGGACCCAAGAAAGAAATAATTATGTCTTTAAAAAACTTGCATCTCTATTATCTATGACAGTGTCTGGCATATACACTTAAAAGTTGGAATTTTAGGATATTTATTTCTTGCACTCAACCAGACTATTATATAACTTCAAATAAAAAGAAAAGATCTAAAGTGAAGCCTATTGCCTTCATCATTAAAAAAAAAAAAAAAAAAAAAAAAAAACCAGATCCAAGATGGCCGATTAGGAGCAGCTCAGTATTGCAGCTCCCAGCGAAAGCGCGAAGGGTGAGTGGACACTGCATTTACAGACGGATTTTTATTGCCCACAGACCTGGAGATTCCCAGGCGGAGGAGCCCCATGGGTCGTGAGCACAGCTGTTTTGGTCAGTGCAACCGTTTTGGCTGGCACCCCGGTGGAGTGGGTCTCTGCACAAAATACTCAGGTTTGGGTGCCAGTTAGCTGGCGACTGGAGCTCCTGGGAGACAGAGTCACCCATTCAACTGATAAAAAAGGACACTGAAACAGGGAGCCAGGCTAGGAGATTCCCAGAAAAAAAACAGCACCACAAATCTCAGCACAGCTATTTCCGCCGGCGTAGTAGATCACCGCACAGGAAATCACAAAGATCCCAGTGCCTTTTCAACAGGTGACTGGAACACCTGGGAGGCAGATTCGCCTGTTCAACTGAAAAAAAAAAAGGGCGACTGAGGCAGGGAGCCAGGTGATCAGGCTCGGCTGGTCCCACCCCCACAACAAAACAGCAATCTGAAACGCTCTGGATTGAGAGTTCCACAGCAAGCACAGCTGAACCCGGGAAGGTCCAGCTCTATTGGGGAAGGAGTGTCCTTCATTACCGAAGCAGTCCACAACTACAGAGGTAGTCCGCCATTACTGAGGCAGCCCGCCATTTCCAAGGCAGCCCGCCATTACAGAGAGAGTCCGCAATTATAGAGGTGAGCCGCCATGGCCAAGGCAATTCAAACTATACCCATATAAACAGGACTGCAGGGAAGTTCACAGGGCAGCTGGGCAGAGATAGCAGCAGTTCAGCAAAGCCTCTGCATGCAGACAATGACTAGGCTGCCTCCTCGCTAGGCAGGGCAGCCCTGAAAAAAGACAGCAGTACAACAGAAACTTGTAAGTACAGCCCTAACTCCCCGGGTCAGAGCACCTGGGGGAAAAAAAACAGAAGAAGTTTATAAGTTCTGCTGCAGCAGACTTAAACATACATGCCCAACAGCTCTGAATGAACAATGGAACTCACAGCTCAGCACTTGAGCTCCTATAAAGGACAGACTGTCTCCTCAAGCAGCGCCCTGACCCCCATATAGCCAAAGAGTCACCTCATAAAGGAGAGCTCATCTGGCAGATATAATTCTGGAACAAAGATAGCAGAAGAATAAACTGGCAGCAACCCTTACTGTTCTGCAGCCACTGCAGGTGATCCCCAGGCAAACAGGGCCTACAGCAGAGAGGCCTGACTGTTAGAAGGAAAACTAAGAAACAGAAAGAAGTAAATTCATCATCAACAAACTGGATGTCCACTCAGAGACCCAATCTGAAAGTCAACAACTAAAAAGATGACAGGTGGATAAATCCACAAAGACGGGGAGAAAACAGTGCAAAAAGGATGAAACACCTGAAACCAGAATGCCTCTCCTCCGACAAGGGATCACAACTCCTCACCAGGAAGGAAACAAGGCTGGATGGCAAATGACTGTGATGAATTGACAAAAACAGGCTTCAGAAGGTGAGTAATCAGAAACTTCACTGAGCTAAAAGAACATGGTCTCACCCAATGAAAAGAAACTAAGAACCTTGAAAAAAGATGTGAAAAAATGCTAATGAGAATAAACAACTTAGAAAGAAATGTAAGTGAATTGATGGAGCTGAAAAACACAACATAAGAACTTCGCGAAGCATACACAAGTTTTAACAGCCGAATTGACCAAGCAGAAGAAAGGATAACAGAGGTCAAAGATCGACTCAATGAAATAAAATGAGAAGGAAAGACTAGAGAAAAAAGAGTAAAAAGGAATGAACAAAGTCTCCAAGAAATATGGCACTATGTGAAAAAAGACCTAATATACGTTTGAAAGGTGCACCTGAATGTGATGGAGAGAATGAATCCCAGCTGGAAAATACTCTTCAGGATATTATCCAGGAAAACTTCCCCAACCTAGCAAGGTAGGCCAATATCCCAGTTTAGGAAATACAGAGAACACCACAAAGATACTCCTCAAGAAGAGCAACCCCAAGGCATACAATCGTCTGATTCACCAGGGTTGAAATGAAGGAGAAAATGCTAAGGGCAGCCAAACAGAAAGGTCGGGTTACCCACAAAGGGAAGCCCATCAGACTCACAGCAGATCTCTCAGCAGAAACCCTACAAGCCAGAAGAGAGTGGGGGCCAATATTCAACATCCTTAAAGAAAAGAACTTTCAACCCAGAATTTCATATCCAGTCAAACTAAGCTTCATAAGTGAAGGAAAAATAAAATCCTTTACGAACAAGCAAGTACTCAGAGATTTCATTACCACCAGGCCTGCTTTACAAGAGCTCCTGAAAGAGGCACTACACATAGAAAGGAACAACCAGTACCAACCACTCCAAAAACATACCAAATGATAAAGAGCATTGACAAAATGAGGAAACTGCATCAACTAACGGGCAAAACAGGCAGCTAGCATCAAAATGGCAGTATCAAATTCACACATAAGAATATTAATCCTAAACGTAAATGGGCTAAATGCCCCAATCAAAAGACACAGACTGGCAAATTGGACAAAAAGCCAAACTCCATCAGTGTCCTGTATCCAGAAAACCCGTCTCACAAGCAAGAATACACAAAAGCTCAAAATAAAGGAATGGAGGAAGATTTACCAAGCAAATGGAGAGCAAAAAAAGCAGGAGTTGTAATTCTCATCTCTGATAAAACAGACTTTAAACCAACAAAGATCAAAAGAGACAAAGAAGGACATTACATAATGGTAAAAGAATCAATGCAACAAGAAGAGCTAACGATCCTAAATATATACACACCCAATGCAGGAGCACCCATACACATAAAGCAAGTTCTTAACAACTTACAAAGAGACGTAGACTCCCACACAATAATAGTGGGAGATTTTAACATCCCATTGTCAATATTAGACAGATCAACCAGACAGAAAATTAGCAAGGAAATCCAGGACTTGAACTCAGGCCTGGACCAATCAAACCTAATAAACATTTACAGAACTCTCCACCCCAAATCCTCAGAATATACATTCTTCTCAGCATCACATCGCACCTACTCTAAAACTGACCACATAATTGGAAGTAAACCACTCCTAAGCAAATGCAAAAGAACGAAAATCATAATAAACAGTCTCTCAGACCACAGGGCAATCAAGTTAGAACTCAGAATTCAGAAACTAACTCAGAACCACACAGCTTCATGGAAACTGAACAACTGGCTCTTGAATGTTGACTGGATAAACAATTAAATGAAGGCAGAAATAAAGATGTTCTTCGAAACCAATGCAAACGAAGACATAACATACCAGAATATCTGGGACACATTTAAAGCAGTCTCTAGAGGAAAATATAAAGCAATAAATGCCCACATGAGAAGCAAGGAGAGATCTAACATTGACACCCTATTGTCAAAATTGAAAGAGCTACAGGAACAAGATCAAAAAAACTCAAAACCTAGCAGAAGACAAAAAATAACTAAGATGAGAGCAGACCTGAAGGAGATAGAGACACAGAAAACCCTTCAAAAAAATCAATAAATCCAGGAGCTGGTTTTTCAAAAACATCAACAAACAGACAGACCACTAGCCAGATTAATAACAAAGAAAACAGAGAACAATCAAATAGATGCAATAAAAAGCGATAACGGGAATATCACCACAGATTCCACAGAAATTCAAACCATCATCAGAGATTATTACAAACAACTCTATGTGCATAAACTAGTAAACCTGGAAGAAATGAATAAATTCCTGGACACCTGCCTCCTCCCAAGCCTAAACCAGGAAGAAGTCAAAACCCTGAAAAGAACAATAACAAGGTCTGAAGTTGAGGAAGCAATTAAGAGCCTACCACACAAAAAAGCCCAGGTCCAGATGGGTTCACAGCCAAATTCTACCAGGCTTACAAAGAGGAGCTGGTACCATTCCTTCTGAAACTATTCCAAATAATCCAAAAAGAGGGAATCCTTCCTAAATCATTTTATGAAACCAACATCATCCTGATACCAAAACCCAGCAGAGACTCAACAAGAAAAAAAAACTTCAGGCCATTATCCATGATGAACATAGATGCAAAAATCTTCAATAAATTACTGGCAAATCAATTGCAACAGCACATCAAAAAGCTTATCCACCATGATCAAGTAGGATTCACCCCAGGGATGCAAGGCTGGTTCAACATACGCAAGTCTATAAACGTAATTCACCACATAAACAGAACCAAAGACAAAAACCACATATTATCTCAATTGATGCAGTGACGGCCTTTGACAAAATTCAACAGTCCT